AGGAGGAGGAGGAAGAGGAGCGGCAGCAGCAACAGCCAGCCATGCAAAGCACCTGGGGCTGGGGCGCAGTTCCAGGTAGAGGGAACAGTAGGTGCTAGGCCCTGTATTAGTGGCTGCAGGACAGGCAGAAGACTAGTGCTGGTGAAGTTTGAGGGAGGCAACAGAAAAAGTTGTGTTTTATCCCACGGCAAGGGAGAACTGTGGAAGGCTCTTACAGACAGAATTCACACCATGAAGTGTCACTAGGGCTGCTGTGTGGGACGGCAAATGGGTGCCAGAGGCCAAGAAAAGGGAGGAAGCTACGACACAAGACCCCGGGCAGGAACTGTTGTCACACAGGGGAAACAGGCCATCTCTGCCGGGGCAGAGGGGAGAAGGAAGAGGGAGGGGAAGCGCGGGGGCGGGCAATGACAGGAGGGCGCAGGGCCACCCCTCACCCACCCGTCCTTCTGGTCTGGTTTCTCCTGCAGGCCAGACAGCAGGCGGATGAGGCAGTCCTCGTACTTGTCCAGGAAGCCAGAGGACCCGGCTGCTAGGTAGGCACTGTACTCCTGGTAGAGCCAGGCGAAGGCCAGGTCCAGACGGGCCCGCACATCCTCCAGGATGAAGGACAGGACCTCAGCCTTGAGGCCTGAGTGAAACTGTGTCACCAGGCTGGCCAGGATCTTGACGCGCACCTGGGAGGACAGCAAGCAGGCGTGTCAGCATGGTTTGTGTGTTAGGGGTAATCAGGACACCCTGAAACCACACCCTGCTACTCCCGGCCCAGGCTCAGGACCCGAGCGCAGACACGAGGAACGAAGGTGAAGAACCTTAGGCCCAGTAGGGCCTGTTTGTGGCACAGCAGAGAAGGTTGAGAAACAAAACATCAACTATCACTGAATAAAAGTGAGATTCCAGGAGGAGTACCCAGGTACCTAACAGCACAGAAAAAGATCTTGAAAGATCCGCTTAATTTGTGCATAATGTCACCTCTGGTGAGGGGATAGGATGTAATAACAGCCAAGAAAGACTGTACTGTATCTGTACTGCCTGGAAATATTGCTCATATATAACTGGCCAAGTAAAAATTAACTTCAAAGAATGGGAAAAACTTGCTTGAATGTGGTACAACAGCAACAAGTGGCAGAATCAGGATTTGAAACCAGGTAGTCTGGGGCCGGGGATTTAGCTCAGTGGTTCTGGCGCCTGCCTCGAAAGCACAAGATCCCGAGTTTGATCCCCGGTACCAAAAAAACAAAAACAAACAAACAAACAAAAAAACCCCAGGTAGTCTGAAGTAAATACTACAAAAAGAAGGTTAAGAACCACAAAGAACCAGGGCCAGAGGAGCAGCTGTGCTGGCCGAGCACCTCTGGCTCCACCCCTGCGCACATGTGTACCCGTGCGTTTCTCTCCTGGCCCCGTCACCACAGAACTGCTGCCCGGTCTCTGGTTCATGGAGGACAGGACCAGGGCCAGAGAAGTGGTGGACAGCAGCTGAGCTGGTGTCTGTAGCCAGGAAGGTGAGACCCAGAGGGAGGGAGGGGTCTCTTCAATGCCACATGAGCTCGGCCCTCGGGAAGAGGGCTGGGGACAGGGCACACCTGGGCTGCCCCACTGCAGGCCACGGCTTTCTCGGCCCGCAGGATCCGCTTCACAGCGCCCAGCTTCATGGCCTCCACCTCGACGTCCGTCAGGGGCTTCAGCACCTCACTCAGACGGAAGATCTTCTTGCGCCCACCGGCACCTGCCAACCTTCCAGAGTAGGGACAGGGATGCAGTGACATGGAGCGTCCTTGCTGCACCCAAGGCCCATCTGGTGACTCTCATCACTCAGGGACGAGCCAGGCCACACAGGCACTATCTGCAGCAGACACCTCTGCCAATATTAGCAGGCTACAGTGGCACAGGCTTCTTGCCCCTCTATAATTTAGCTGTGTATATTCCTGGAGTCTGACCGAAGCTTATGAGACTCAAATGGGCAAGTCAGACAGCAGAGTTGGGTGAGTATTGCTTCTCTGCTAATGGCAGCTACCGAGACTTAAGTGCTAGTCTGTGAAGCAGAGCTTGGCGAAGCAGAGCTTGGCCAAGCTCACTTCCAGCCAAGATCAACTGGCTCCAACTAAATTCTTCCCTTCTGAATTAACCGTTTGTTCTCTTCGGCAAAGATATGCTATGCCCTCATTCTACAGTCTTGCCTGCTTGATAGTTGTTATCAGCAGAGGTCCCAAGGGCCAGCTCCCTCCTTCCCACGCTTGTAACAAATAAAACACTGGATGTCCTTGGGATCTTCTTTGCTGCCCAGAAGAGCTCAGATCAGCCCAAGACTCAGTTTCCCTCATATCTGTCTGTGTCTTTATTTCCCACTTTCCTATCTCACGGACATTGTGCTGGCTCGCAGGAGACTAGGACCCACTGCAGGGGTCTCTGGTAAGGACCCTTTCCCTTTCCCTATAGCTATCTGCCCCTCACACTGCCTCCTAACTCCCCAGGACTCTGTGCCCAACTAGAGAGGGGAAGGAGTAGGGAAGAGGACATGGTGGAGAGCAGGGTGAAGGAGGAGCCGGGGCCCAAGCCTCCCGGGCGGAGAGGAGTCAGTATAAAAACCCCAGAGGGACCTGCTGTGGCTGTAACATGGAGGAGTTGAGGGTCCAGAGAGGTGGCGGGTCACGCTGTGCCCTGTGCAAGCTCTGGCAGGGCTGGAGCTGTCTGGCTGGATTTTGTGGTTGCAAGGGACACAAAGAACAAGGACGGTGGGAACAGCCAGCAGGTCAGGAATCAGGCAAAGTGTATGTATTATCACACTCATTCTCAACCCTAAGACCTAAACCTGACCATACCAGGAAAAAATGTAGTTCTTCCTAGATTCTTATGAAAGATATTACTATTCTCCTAAATTTAGACATAAGGTGGTTATAGCTGACTCTGGAGCCAGGGAGAACCTCATCTCACTCTTCTATGTGTGTGTATCACACATGTGCATGTGCATGCGCACGCACGCACACACACACACAGAGGAGCTGAGGACCAAACCCTAGGGCAGGGCTCCCAGCCCATCCCAGCATCTAGCAGGGGTCTCACCGGGGCTGCGTGACGGGGATGATGGGCTCTGGCCTCCTCTTGGCTTGAGGCACCTCCTCCTCCAGGGGGGACATGGAGCTCAGAGAGCCCACCACTGAGATGGCTTGGCCCTGGGCAGACAGGCGCCTCTTGATCAGGACGCTCTCCGGCTTCACCACCTTCTCCTCCTTGGGCTCCTCCTTACACTGTTTGGTCTGCTCCACGCCTAGAGGGAGGCAGCAAAGAGGCCTCTAGCATGTCACATATGTCTGCTTCCACCCCCGCACCCATGTAAATGCCCTTGGAACGTGCCCAGTGCCATCCTGGAGCAGTTCTTCTTTTAAACCTATTTTCTAATGTACCGGCTAAGAATCAAACCAGAAATGCCATTCACTGCTGGGGGAGCATCAAATGGTGCAGCCATGTTAGAAACATGACAAGCAGTTTTTACAGCTTTTTTTTGAAACAGGGTCTCACTGTGCAGTTCAGACTGGCCCTGAACTCATTATGTAGCCCAGGCGGGCCTCGAACTCCTGGCAATCCTCCTGCCGCAGCCTCTCGAGTGCTGGGATTACAGGCGTGCACCACCACACCCAGCTAATTTTTACAGATTTGGTCACACCTACCCTATGGCCCAACAGCTCCACTCCTGAACACGCCACAGATGAGGGCATGTGCGCCTCAGCAGACTACACCAATGTTCACCACAGCTTCGTTCACAAAGGGACACAGGCTCATCACCAGGAGGGTGGACGGCGTGGTAATACAGTTACATAAGGGAAGACTACTGAGCAATAAAAAATAAGCTACTAGCTCACAAGGCAGCATGGATCAAACTCAAAAACTTATTCTGAGCAAAAGAACCCACACCTCTGTGATCCCATTTACATGAAGTTCAAGAAAAGGCAAACTGCTCTGTGGAGGCCAAACTCAGAACAGTGGTCATCTCCAGAGGTGGGGCACCCTGAACAGCGACTGGAATGGATCAAAAGAACTTTCTAGGGCCAGGGATTTAGCTCCGTGGTGCCATGCCTGCCTTGCAATCCCCAGTGCAAAAAAAGAGAGAGAGAGAGAGAGAGAGAGAGAGAGAGAGAACTTTCTAGAGTGGTGGAAATGGCCTGTATCTTGATCTGGATGGTTATACTGCTTTTTTATTTCAGTACCAGGGATTGAACTCAGAACCTTGCACTTGCAAGGCAGGCATGGCACCACTGAGCTAAATCCCCGGCCCCTATACTGCTATTTTTTTTCTTTTTTTTTTGGTACTGGAGATCAAACTTGAGTCCTTGTGCTTGCGCAGCAGGTGGCGAAACCACTGAGCTAAATCCCCAGCCCTATACTGCTATTTTTACTATGTGAGAATTCATTCAGGCACACGATTTAAAGTTGTGCATTTCACCGTATATATACTTCAAAACTACTGTTGAAATAAGAAAAAGGTGAGCTGAGAGAGGTTACATAACCCAGTGTGTCACTCACCAATTAAATGGATGAAGCAGCCTGGTTCAATCTGGATTCAAACCCAGGTCTGTCTCATTTCAAAGCCTGGGGCTGAAAACACTGAGCACTCATCCCGCCTGTGGGGCCTGTGGCTCGGCTAGTGCTCAACACGTGACCTTCATCGGCACCGGCACAGGAGGTGCTCTCCTCTCCCACTGAGAGGAACCCAGGGCTCAAGCCCCGCTCTGGGACACTCACCTGGACCCAGTCCTGCCGCTGTCATCTGGGTGGCCATCAGCCGAGCCAGGTGCTTGATCTGGGCGTCAGTGCCTGCTGACTCCACGGGGGTGTAGATGGCTTGGAAGGAGGCGGGCATGGTCTCAGGCAGATACACCATGCTGATGAGGACCTGCGATACCCAGGGAAGGAGCCTCTCTTGATCTTGAACTCCAGAAGCACCAGTCCCATGCATCGGCCAGCGCAGGAGAAAGGGCAGGGACTGACACCCCCGGGGGCTGCTCTCATTGAGCTCAGCATCCTCAGACTCAGAGAAAGCCAATCCCACCCAAAACTAATTCAATCACAGGCCCCAGCCTCTCCGCTTACAGGAGGGGAGGGGAGTGGCAGGAACGGATTCGGATGGGGACTGACCGCCCAAAGAGGGACCACTGGGTGGTGGTCACAAGTGACATCCCGAAGGTGTGAGGATGAGAAGGGAGCCACCAAGGGAAGGATGGCCTTCTGGATCACCCCTCCCGCCATGGACACCATGTGGAGGATCCAGCCAGTGTGCAGGAGGCAGGGGAAGGAGAGGAGGCCCTTTCTCCTGTCATGGTGGGTGTGTCCCCAGTACCCTCACCAGGTTGGCCACATTGTCGGGCGTCAGCAGAGGCTGCAGGAACTCAGCTGTGATGTCTGTGTCTGACTGGCCTGAGATCTGGGCCGAAGCCTTCGAGGTCCCCGAGGGGCCAGGCTCCAAGTCCTTATCCTCATCATCTTCGCCTAGGTTGGGCTCTGGGATGAGGGGAGAACAAGACACAGGCTAAAGAGGGCAGAGCTCCTCCTCCTAGGGAGCCCAGGTGGTCCCCAGGCTAGGCCAGCCGTGGCAAACAGGAGCAGCCCCGGGGTCAAGGAATCAGGCTGCTGTCCCACCTCTGCCATCAAAGCACCATGTGACCTCGGGCAACAACCTCCCTCTTTCTGGGCCTCAGTTCTCCTCATTTGGGATTCGAGTAAGCCAAACCCCAGTAGCTGATCCCACTAAGCCCTAAGAAGACTGTATTATTATTATTGTTACTCTTTGTGGTGCTGGGAATGAAACCCAGGGCCTTGCGTATGCTACACAAGCACTTCATCAATGGGTTACACTCCCAGCCCTGAGACAAGGCTGGTTACAAAACGTCAACTAATAATTTTAGAGCTCTATTGTATATAAACCTCTGCCTATAAAATAGTGCTTAACTTTACTAGGAATCGGGGAAATGCAGAAAACAAACAAAAAAACCACCCAAACCTAATAAACATTATGTTTTGCCTATCTGAGTGACAACAACTAAAAAGGTTAGTAGTTACAGTTGTTAGTAGGGATATAGAATGTGGAAATATAAACACACCACTTTCCGGAGGGGGAATATGACAGCAAATCACAATTTAAAATGTGCACATCTCTTTGACACAGCAATTCCACTTCTCGGTACTGCCCCTAAAAACATGACCACATCTGGGGCCGGGGATTTAGCACAGTGGTTTTGCTGCCTGCTGCGCAAGCACAAGGGCCTGAGTTCAATCCCTGGTACCGGAAAAAAACAAAAAACGAACATGCTCACATCTGAGATATGAAGGTCTGTGCTTTGCTGCTTTGCAGATGCTATTATTTTTTTGAGACAGGGTCTTCCTTTATGTACCCCAGGCTGGCCTTGAACTCACAGGGATCCTCCAGCCTCAGCCTTCCTAGTCCTGCGATTATAGGAGTGTGCCACTGCACCCAGGGAATTATTTTTTAATATGAAAATGAGTCCTTCATAATAAACATGAGCAGTATTTTTAAAATTTTTGGTGTTAAGGAAGCTGTCATAGTTGCCACCATTAATAAAAAACCTGTGTAGCAGCACACATCTGTAATCCCAGCACTTTGGGCGGCTGAGGCAGGAGGATCTCAAGTTGAGTCCTGCCCCAGCAATTTAGGAAGACCTATTTCAAAAAAAAAACAAGGCCAGGGATGTAACTCAGTGTGAAGGCCCTGGATTCAATCCCCAGTGCCACCAACAGAACAAAGGAGAGCTCTATGTATATAAAGTGCTTCTGATAGAAAACAAAAGGAAACATTCACATTGGAGGAGTGGTTACTTTTGGGGAGAGGGATAAGCTCAAGACTTTCATTTTATTCCTTTCTGTAAAATGTATTACATGACTGAGTGATTATCAACAGTACTTATGTCATCATGTTATGTAATACAATTTTTTTTTTTTGGTACGGGGATCAAGCTCGGGTCCTTGCGCTTGCACAGCAGGCGGCAAAACCACTGAGCTAAATCCCTGCCCCTATGTAATACAATTTTGACACTCATACAAATAAAGCATCCAGTTCACTGTGAATAATCAACTCTAGCTGGGTCCACCCCCAAATGCCCCCAGCCCCAGCCTTGGCCCTCAGCTCACCTAGCTTCATCTTCTTCAGCGTGGAGTCTGAGTCATCTCGGGGCCTCTTGCGGCCGTCCTTGCCACTGGGCATGTTGCGGGCGATCTCAGCCTGAGGCGTGCCCAGGTCCACCAGCAGGGTGGTGATCTGGGCCTGGAACTCCAAGGAGGCCGGGTGTTTGAGCACACTCAACAGGTGCAACTTGAGGTTCTTGCGCACACTGCTCACCTGAGATTTGGCCAGCGTCGGGGGCAGGTTGGCTGTGGGGAAAGAGGCAGGAGCTCTGTGCTGGGGAAGGATCTTGGGGTCCTGCTAGTCTCAACCCCCAACCTTAAACTCGGGCAGTGGTCCCGCGGACATGGCTAGGAAAGTTCCTGTGGGCTCCGATCTAGTGTGCGGCTCTCCCCTTATGAGCTGGTGCCCAGAACCCTTGAGAGGCCTCCAGCATAGTCCCTTAAACAGAAAAACAGCCTCCGTGTTATTAAACATTAAGTCTCAAGTCCTGCCATCTCCGGGCTGGATTCCAAATGCTTCTCGTGGGCAGGAACATAACTGCCACCTTCACCTCCACAAACTCCCTGCTGAACGGCTGCCACAGATCATTCTGGTCTCCCTACCACCATAACACTCCAGGGTTAGATGGTCACCTTGATAAGCTAGCCTCCCCTGCTCTGCAGCCAAAGAAGATGCCTGTAATTTAGTCTATTCTTCGGCCAACACCACTCCTACTGCCCTTTGAGGGAACTACTCTGTCTCCATTCTCCATCCAAGTGTGAATGAAACCTGGAGCCAGCAAGAACACAGCATTCCCTTGGCCACTGTGATTGGCTCAGAGTTGGCTCATAATCTCTGCTGACCAATCAGAAACAATGAGTATCAGCCCTTGGACTTTGGGCGGAACAATGGGCAAAGGGACACTCTTTCCTCTGGGGTTGCTAGGTGGATGGAATGGAAGCCTAGAGCTATGGGAGGCCATCTTTGCTACCCCAAGGAAAGAGCCAGACAACAAGGCAAGAAGCTGGCACAGAGATGATAAGAACCATCCATGGAGGGCTGGGGATTTAGCCCGTGGTTCCATCACCTGCCTCACAAGCGCAAGGACCCGAGTTCGATCCCCGGTACCAAAAAGAAAAAAGAACTATCCATGGAGCAATCCATGACCTGTACACGTTTATACCTCAACCCAACTTCCCAATTTTCATCCATGCACAGAAGCAGAGAAAATATTATGTACTCACTAACAAACACTTTGCTGATTTGGGAACATCTAGCCTCCCTTTTCGGTGGGGGCTGGGGAAGCTAGAATATTAGAGAGTATTTCACAGATATCACGTCATTTCACTCACACACATTTCAATGTGGAAGGCAGTGTCTGGGACAGGTTTCCGGCACACACCGATCTCCATATAACACAGTGTGCCCACAACAGGCTAGAGCAACGGCTGACACTCGGGGGGCATCCTCAGCTCACATTTCCTCAAGAAAGGGGCAGACTGGATGGTGGAGCGGCAGGGGAAGGGCTCGACCTACCATGTAGGGTTTCATAGGCCTGGATCACCTCCGACATGAACATGGGTCTCTGGCGGGCGATATTGGCGAGGGAGCCCAGGGCCGTGGTCAGATTAATGGAGGAGATGGCAGGGTGCACCATGAACTTGAGCAGCTGCTCCAAGGCTGCCTTGCCTTCTTCCCACAGCACATCTGATGAGGAAGGACAGAGAGCCAGGGAGTGCAGCCCTTCCTCCCAGACCTCTGGAGGGGAGGAGGGGAGGAGGAGAGAGAGAGAGACAGAGAGACAGACAGAGAGAGAGAGAGAGAGAGAGAGAGAGAGAGACAGAGAGACAGAGAGACAGAGAGACAGAGAGAGACAGAGAGAGACAGAGAGAGAGACAGAGAGACAGAGAGAGACAGAGAGACAGAGAGAGAGTGAGAGAGAGACAGAGACAGAGACAGAGACAGAGAAAGAGAGGAGCTTCTGGGGCCTAAAGGAAAGGGGGACCCGGCACTCAAAATGTCTGTGAATGGCTAGAAAAATGCAAAAAAAATTAGCATTTGATGAGCCCCAAGAAAGTATTAATGAATGTAAAAACTAAGCTATAAGGATATACAGAGCATGGGCTTGAAAAGCAAAAGACTAAAAATAATTTTAAATATCCTACTACAGGAAACAGACTGTATGAAGTAAGTTGAATCAAACTTTGAGTGAGTATGTTCCTGCACATACAGACACACAGACAAAGAGCTCAAAGGTCCTTATACAGTGTCCTCAATCCAATTTCAGGAGTAAATGCTTAAAACTAGGGTGGTAAACACACTGAATTCCATGTTATTTGAAAGATCGAATAAAATACCTTCTAAAGCCAGGCATGGTGGCTCATGCCCATAATCCCAGCACTCAGGAGGCTGAGGCAGGAGGATTGCCTCAAGTTCAAGTCCACATAGCGAGCTACACAGTGAGTTCTACACAGACGTGACATGACAGCTTTCCTCCATCCAGGCCCTTCCATCATGCTGGGTGGTATTTAAGCCTGGGGAGCATGAACTGAAACAAGATTCTTAAACATGAGCCAAAATAAACCTCTCCTAGGCCGGGGATTTAGCTCAGTGGTTCCGCCGCCTGCCTCGCAAGCTCAAGGTCTCAAGTTCGATCCCCGGTACCAAAATAAACTTCTCCTTTAAGTTTTTTTGACCCAGCAAGGAGGAAAGTGATGAAGACAATCCACAACTTAGCAATGAGAAACAGGCTTAGAGAAAGACTAACCCTAAAGCCCAACGGTAGAGCTGAACTCTGAACACAAGCCAGTCCACTCTAATGTCGTTCAGATAAAAATATAAACCATGGTATCATTTCATAAACAAAAAAGAGAATGCAGACACTATGCTTATATAAACATCTATACGTGCTAAGGAACTGTATGGAAGGAAACATAATTCCCTTAACAGTATTTACCTCTGTAAAGCAGGACTGGAGGAGAGGGATTATTCTTTGTACACCCTTCCATATTGCTCAACACATATGCAAACGTGTATCATTTTTATAATTTGAAATTAAGAAAAGCATAGAACTTGCTGCCAGTCTGGCATGGTAATGCACATCTATAATCCCAGAACTCTGAGGCTAAGGCAGGAGAATCTCAAGTTTAAGCCCAGCCTGAGCAACTTAGCAAGACCCTGTCTTCAAAACAGAAAATTAAAAAAGCTCAGTAAGAGCCCTGGTTCAATCCCTAGTATTGCAAAAAACCCCTATAAAACAAACAGAACAACCTACTAGCTGGAACCTATTACCTCACTCTCACGGCACCTCACCATAGTCCACAGAATGAGACCACTATCATCGCTACTTTACAAAAGACAGAAATGAAATCCAGAAAGAAGCAACTTACTCAAGTTCCTAATACAGAAGCGGTGAAGCTGGGATGTGAACCTAGCTTCAGGCTCTTAACCACTCCACTATACTGCTTCCAGAAACTAAACACCAAGCAAGTCAAGCAGAAAGGAGGAAGGAAGAGAGAAAAGAGCTGGAGCAAGTCAAACAGCAGCAGTGAGATGAGGGGTGGCACTCACTGTACTGGATATAGGGGTGGTCGCGAGGGATGCGGTCCAGGCTGATGTCATGCTCCTGGCGTCGAGGAACCTCTGAGTCGGCCATGCGGGGTGACAGGGTGACAATGAGGCCCTCCACAAACTTAATGGCATGGGTGCGGATGCCATCATTGTCAGAGTCCAACAGTAGGATGATGTCCCCAGCCATGGCAGACACCATGTCCCAGCAGGCCTCTTGGAGATCACTGATGACCCGTGACTTCACCATCCACTGCCACAGGGCCAGGGAGGGATGGAAAAGACAAACATGGAGATGACACATCAATCCCCAACACCCTCCACTACCACACCTAGAGACCCTACATTCATTCAGTTAACAGGTCCTGAGCTCCAATCTCCCCACCTCCGAGCCAGGTCACACTGGGGTAGAACAGTGGTGGCCAAGACAGGTCTGCCCCTACCCTGACGGGGCTCACAGCGGTGAAAACCTAGGGAAATCTCAAAGCTTAAGGAACGCAATGGAATGACACTGACTCATAAGGGATGCTGACTGAACAGCTTCATTCATCTCCTCGATGCTTGGACATTACACTACAGCACTGCCTCTTCATATCATGGTCCACAGTCAACATTTCCATCATTCTCTAATTAGAGTCTATGTCCCTCTCTGGTCTATGGGCACCATGAAGGCAGGACCCTGAGTGTATTGGTCACTGCTGGTCCCTAGCATCACCTAGTATGGGCCGGGCACAAAGGAGGTGCTTGGGGAATGTTTCTTGCATGAATAAATGAATGGACCAATGAAAGAAAGGACGTATTAATGGCAATTTCTGACCTAGTAAACAACATTAGATCCCTTGTCTGTTCCCACGGACCACGAGCATATCTTGCCCATAAACAGTGTGACCTGACCCTGGTCTAAACTCCAGCAGATGTGGCTGTAAACAAGATCTGCAGATGGGATGCCCTGGGGTGTGCAGAAAGCTCTCACCTGCAGGGCCACCTTGTAGAGCTGGGTCATGGTGAGGATGGCCTTCTTCACCACATTCACATTCTCATCCCTCAGGAGCATGTTGAGGTTTGCAATCAGTTTCAGCAGTAACTCAATGTCTCGCTTGCTGGGGGATGGAGGAAATGGGACAAAGTCAAGTTAGTCTTAGGGTGGGCAGTGGAAACATGGGGTCCAGGTGCAAAGGGAATTCAGGGCCCATAACTTGGGGAAATGGAATGGAGGTGGCAACTGGGGATCGCATGTATTCTGTTTGCCAGCACATCTGGAAGCTGAGAACAATGCCCAACAGCTCCAGTCTGAGCTGCCCCTGAACCATCTATCTTGTCTGGTCCTGTAACCCCCACTCCTTTGCCATCTTAGAGCCCAGCTATTCACATACGGGGCAGTAGACCCAGACAATTGTGAATTTGGGCAAGTAACCTCATCTTTGTGTGTGTGGTGCTGGGAATTAAACTCTGGACCCCATACCATGCCTCCTCAATGAAGCCAATGACAAATTTTCGGACTTCGATTGACTTGTCTGCTTGGAAAGCGATGATCTCCTGGCAATGTCAGAGAAAAGGTGTGTCAGGCCACAGGAGGATGCATCCCCTCCCCCACACACCCAGGCCCTTTCCCAATCCATCAGTCTCTCACATCCAGGAAGTTGTCCAGTAGTGTGGGGTCTTTGTTGATGATCAGTTCCTGGACCTGGAAGGAGATTGGGTTGGGGAAGAGGAACAGACATATAAAACCAAGATCCAATCAGTACAGACAGGGCAGTTGGAGGAAATGGCATGGGTCTACTCCCTTGTGTGCACGTGAGCAAGTAGTTTCCCCTATCTGAGCCTTAGTTAGCTATACTATAAAATGAAAACCTTAAACACCAGGTCACAGGGGTGCTGTGAGATACTACAGGGGGCAGTGCTGGGAGCAATGAGGACACAATACACAGGAGAGCTAAAGAGGGAACTGTCTCAAGGCTCCAACCTTCATGAGGTTTGGCCTCCTTTCAGCGGCCCTTCTCTTCTCCCCTGACACACTGCCACCATTCAGCAAGCATCTTATGCAAGTGAGAATCATTTCCTGGGGCTCTTACCTGCCAGGCTGTTTGGAATAAGCCCACATCCTCCTGCAGGCACTGGATCTAGCTCCTACAGCCCTCCCCACTATTGGCACCTGCTGTCTCAGACTCCCCAAGGTCACAGGCACAGCAAGCAGCAGAGCTGGCTTCTCCCCCAGGCACCCAGACCCCACGGTCTCTGACTCCAGCTGCCTCCTCCTCTGAACCATGCTCTCCTTTGCCTCTATACATGCTCTCATGCCTTCTGCTTGAGATGATCTCTCCCTCTAGTTTGGTACACCTCTCTCCTTATGCCCCAGAGCTTTGCTCAAATGTCCTCTCCTCCAGAAAGCTCCTTCTGATCCCCATGCCTAGGCCAAGTCAGGTGCCCTCTCTGAGCTCCCGTAGCCCCCTGGGCTTCTCTATGCCAGCCCTGCACACACTAGGTCATCACCATCTGGTGACAGACACGGCTTCCCCACCACACTGGACCCTAGTAGACACCAAATGCAATGAAGAGCAGAGGAATCCAGAATTCAAGCACTAGTTTGGCTGGCTGCTAGCAAAGTGACCTTGGTCTAATGAGGGAAGCCTGAGGTCCACTCTCTGTGTCCCGAGTGGGGATGAAACCCCTGACTCCTGGAGCTCTAAGGAGGACTGATGGAGAGCACGCCTGCACAGCTCGGGGCTCCACTGCAGGCGTACACTGGCTGCTTAAGTGTACACACATTGTTGTCACCACTGTTTTCTCTTCACAGCCTCCTACCCCCTACCATCATCATGCCCCACCTCCCCTCACCTGTTTGAGCACTGTGATCTTTGAGTCATTGGTGATCAGTGCTGCCTGGTTCAGGAGATCCACCACCTGGAAAGAGGGGTGAGGCATGTGACAGAGGTGGCCTTGTCAGCACTAGCCACCTCCTTCCCCGGCTCTGCCACCTGGGGTGCACTCTCCCAGGCAGGGACTTCGGCTCCTGGCCGCCAGCCCTCCTCACCACACTTACCCTCTCTGAGGTGGTCATCCCATCGATGCCCGGTCCCTCCTCTTGTGTGAAAAACTGTGATGCCACACTCCGGCGAGTGACATTGTCCCCGCTGCCACTTGCCATGGTTGCCCTCAGGTGTTCTCTGGAAAAGAAGGGGATGGATCAAGCTCTGGGCCCTGTGGCCAGGCTCGGATGGACTGTCAGCCCAACAGCCACAGAGGGTTCAGCCTTCCTCCCCAGTCTGTGTTTTCCCTGCCCGCCTTCCCTTCTCTGGCGTATGGTGTGGGGGGGGTGTGAGCGGGCACAGCGCTGTCTCCCAGATCAGAGGCACAACTGCAAGCATCATCTCCAGTACTTTACACGTCATGGGCTGACCACAGGCTAGATGATGACCGAATGAGCACACGGCAGCTGCGTCGCTGCCCTCGGCCTCCTGTCTCTCCATCTTGGCTGCACCCTGGCCTGTGCACCAGAGCAAACTCCCTAAAACAGCTCCGAGGAACACCAGTCCCAGAGCCCTGCACACAGAAGGGACGCACTACATCAGAACAGGCCACGGGAATATACATTACATTTCAGCCATTTTCTGGAATACTCTGGGGCTGTTTTGAAAAGGGAGGGAGGGAGACTCCTAGGGATCTATCACAAAGTCATCTTGGAAAAATTATAAAACGATTAACGCAGAAAGATATTAATTGCAGTGCTAATCACAACAGTAAAATATTAGAAGCAAATCAAATGTTTTGTTTGTGTTTTGGTACCAGGGATCAAACTCGGGACTTTGCACTTGCGAGGGAGGGAGCAAAATCACTAAGCTAAATCCCTGGCCCAGTACTCAACTCTCTGAAACTCATCAAAGTTGGTACTCAACGAATTTGGATGGGAAAAGTCTGTCCTGGTACTCAGTACTCAACACACAATCTAGAACCTAATGTAGACTGCCTCATGATTTGCTATCCTTTGCAGTCCAAACAATTTACATGGTACTCATTTTTGGTACTTATCCTGCCTCCTGGAACCAATCAACAAGTACCACTTTCTCTCTCTTTTTTGAGGCAGGGTCTCCCTTTGCAGTTCAGGCTGGCCCTAAACTCACTTTGTAGCCCAGGGTGGCCTCAAACTCCTCCTGCCTCAGCCTCCTGAATGCTGGGATTACAGGCATGCACCACCACACCTGGCTCACTTTCTATTTATTTCTATTTCTATATTTCTATTTATATTTCTATATTTATTTTCTATTATTTATTTATTTTTGTGGAACCGGGGATCAAACTCAGGACCTTGCGCTTGCCAGGCAGGTGCTAGAGTCACTGAGCTAAACCTCCAGCCTACTTTCTCTTTATTAGTTATTTCTGCAGTACTGAGGATTGAACCCAGGATCTTTGCACTGACCTATGTGCCCAGCCTTGTTTATTTTATTGTTGTTGTTGTTGTTTTGGCACTGGGGATTGAACTTGGGACCTTAAGCTTGTGAGGTAGGCGCCGGAACCACTGAGCTAAATCCCTGGCCCAAGCCTTATTTTAAATTTGCTATGTTGCCCAGGTTGGGCCTGAACTTTCGATCCTCTTGCTTCAGCCTCTCAGAGTGTTGGGATTACGGTAGGCACCACCAAGCCCACCTGTCTTTTTCAAAAGGGAGTATCCAAAGGAACTGGCTCAGGACCCTTTTCAGATACCAAAATCCACAGAAGCTCACATCCCTTATATAAAATGGCAGTTTGCAGAAAGCTTCCTATATTTTCAATCACCATATTAACACCTAATGCAATGTAAATTTTACATATATGTTATACTGTATTAAGAAACAATTAAAAAGTCTGTACATGTTCAGTATGACACATTTTTCCTGAATATTTTCAATTCAAGGTTAGCTGAATCCACAGATGTAGAGCCCAGGACACGAAAGGCCAACTACAAACCATATAATAAACACTACTTTCCACTTGTTTTCACTTAATGTATGATGGCGCCCATTCTATCAATATATGGAGATTTTCTCCATTCCCTTTTTTCATTTCTTTTTACAGTTGCATCACATTTTATTATGGGGCTGTATCATAGTTTTTTCAGCCAATCTTCCCACTGAAGAACATTTGTTACGTCTGTAGTCTTTTTTGCTACTACCAACAATGTCACGGTTTCCCTTCCCTCTCTGTGGACTCCTTACAGGGTAGACCACCCTACTCCCACCTGGGAGTATGACTTTCTCCTGTTACTCTCAAACAGTGGCTCTAGTAGTAATTTTCATTCGTCAACGAACATCTCCAGTGTGATGGACAGCCCTAGGCACGACCCCATCCAGCCCTTGGCAAAACAGCACAAAAAAGCCTAATCACAAATTGGACAACACATAACAAGAAGGAAAGGAACAGGGATCTATGAGGAGATTTGACAAGCCGATTTCAGGTTGGAGAGTGAGAAAGGAGGGCTTCGTAGAGGAAGTGACGTCGGTGCGCAGACCCGAAGAATGAATGAGTTAGCAAGCCAAAGGTGTAACAGGATGTTGCGGGCAGAGGATAGTTAGTTGGGCAAAGCGGGAAGGCGCATGGCAAGTTTGAGGAACCGAAAAGGCCAGTGTGGCTGTGCTAGACGAGGGATTAGCAAAGACACAGAGTGGAAGCAGGCGAGGTCTCTGGGGCGAATGCGCCTGTGGGGGCCACGTTAGAACTTTGCCCAAGAGCACTGGGGAGCGAAGGAAGGGTGCTGAGCAGGGAAAGAAACCGGGACCCTAGACACTGCGGTTCCCCTCTCCGCACAGCAGCCCCCCCCCCCACGCTGCTGCCTCTTTAGGGGGCCCTCGTCTCCTAGTCCTTGTTCCAGGGCCTCACGTTGCCTCCCTCCTACCGCGGCTCCAGCCTCCGTGGCCCTCGCGCCCCCTCAGCAGTGGCTCTTCGCAGACGCCGCAGCCGCCGCCATCTTCCGCCCAACGCCGTGCCTCTGCGCACACTCTGCACACACAGAGCCACTGGGAAATGGAGTCCAGTCCTTGGTCCGCCCCCGCCCCTAACTCTCGCTTCGCGGGCCGCCTTCCGCTCCCCGCCTGCCTCCGCCCCGGCGGCCTCCATTTTCCGGCCGTCGGGTACTGTGCCTTTTGGGAAATGTAGTCTCTGGCGGAAGCGCGAGGCGGAAGTTGAAATAGAGCCTTCTGGGAAATGTAGTTCAGAGAGGTCTGGAGACCCTGGACGGCCAGCTCGTGTTAGAATGGAATCCCGTGGGAAAAGTTCCTGGGTCCTGGAGGTGGTCTGATGTCCTCGTGAGGTCTAAGCGGAGGGGCCCTGATCCTTTCCACCTCTAGTCTTGACCCTATACACAGACTAAAGAATTTGCAGCCGTCTGAAGTTTCAGTCTTCTCATCTGTCCAGTGGGAATGTGGTTTTGAGCATCTCTGATGGGTCCTTTTATTGACATATCTGTAACTCTGAAGTTTGTAGCGCTCTGAGTCCCCTTTCCCCCACATCGGACCAGCTGCACTCTGGCGTTTCGTTCTCTAGGGTAAACATGATGAAGACCCCGGGGGTAGAAAGGGCCCCCGAGTTCTGCCTTTAAGGTCTTTAGTATAAGCAGTGTCTCCCACCTGTAGCTCCCTCTTGCATCCATCTCGAGCTCCTGGGTCATAGGACTGCGGCTCCCGACGCCTGAGGTCTGTCTCCCGGCGATCCCGCAGGGGGCGCCCCAGTCCGGGCTCACCGGCCACGGGGAGGTGGGAGGGGAGCCCGGGGCGGGCGAAGGCGGGGGTGTCCTGACTATAAAGCGTGGCCGCCTCCCTCAGCGCCTGGGACAGCGAGACCCCGGGCGGTCGGACGGACGGACGGGCGGGCGCTGGTCGCAACTCGGGCCGTGCCCGCCGAGAGATCCGGACACTCCGTGTTCCCCCGGGGCCGGAGCCGGGGCAGGTCGGGGCGCAGGCCCGGGGGATGCTGGGCTCGGTGAAGATGGAGGCCCATGACCTGGCTGAGTGGAGCTACTACCCGGAGACGGGCGAGGTGTGTTCTCAGGGATGGCGGAGCGGGAAGTGGGGGCAGGTATCGGGGTGTGGCCTTCAATGAACCCTGGGACCATACTGTGAGCTCAAATGCTGCCCAAGGCATCTAACTGGGGAGCCCAGGAGCCCGGGACACGGAGACCAGGTGTGGGAATGAGGGACAGGAGACAAGGCTTCATAGTGCAGTTTAGGCAAGCTACTGGGGGTGATGGCTAACATGGGTGGAAAACTTAAGCAAGGGTCCAGTCACACCTTAAACCTAAGGACTGGATGTTGGGGCTCCAAAATCCTAGATATTAAAATGAACAAACCAAAGGTAAGAATCAGAGAGCTGCGGGGTAGGGAACAGCTGGAGGATTTCAGGAAATGGGGTTCAAAGTGGATGGAGAAAGATAGAAACCAAGAGATGGAAAAGGGGGTCTCCATTATAGAAAGTCTGAGGTGGGCATCAGGATCAGAATACAAAGTTAATTTAAAGGTGGGGTTGTGGGGGTGGAAACTAGAATGGGGTTCAGGAATAAGGGTCAGCTGTCAATCTAAGGCTGGGACAGAAATAGGGGTTGGTGGAGCTCAGGGATAAGATATGGAGGTTATCAAAGATGAGCTTCCTCTGGGAGATCTGAAATAACAAGTGGCCCAGACAGGCATCCAGATGCATCAGCCCTGGAGACCTGAAAGTAAGAGATGTGACCATCAGCATCTGCAGGACTCAGTCTTCATCCCCCCATCCCTACCCATGACCCTCAGCAAGACTCCCTGAGTCAAGCTGGAGAATTTCAGATTGTGCGCCTCCTTTCTCCCCGATCCAGCAGCCTCCCACCATAGCTAAAGTTCTCATCCAGTCCTACCTGCCTCAGACAAGGCTTCCTGAAGTAGGTGGCAGAGGCATATCCTAATGTCCTCACCCTAGCAGACAGAAAGTCCCTCCCCAAATCTAACTCCAGTTCCTCTGCTGCAAGAACTCTTGCTTCGCTCATTTGCTCAATAATCAATATTGTGAGGTTAGGGAGGTGGGCATGGTGGGATTGCACCTTTGGATTCCTAACCTGAAGGAGACTGAGCACTTGAGGTGGGGGCAGAGGGCTGGAATGGCTGGGCTTTCCAAGGAGTCAAGATCTGGTGCTTACCTAGGGCTTGAAGCTGTGAGTGAGACTCCTGGATCCCCAGGCTTTTGGGGTTTGGCGAGGTGCCCAGGAGGGGCCAGCCCTGGGTCTGGGGAGGTGTGAGGTGCACGTTGGGCCGGGTAGGACCAAGTGGGGAAGGGGTTGGGATCTTGGTGAGGTGGAGGTGGGGCAACTAGAGGTTCAGTTGTACCTGGTAGGGTGGCAGAGACCTGGGAGGGGCTGGAGGCTGAGAGGCTCAGAATCGGAGCACAGGATCTAAGAGGACCAGCTACAGATCATTGTTTCCAGGCACACTTTAGGAAGTGAACTGAGTGGGTATAGGCAGAAGTCAATGTTTTGGGGCCCAGTCTTGATGGATCAGAGTTTAGGGGAAAATTTGTGTGGAAATTGTGCCAGGAACCGAGAGACAGCCTTGGGGAGGAGGCATGTTTTGGAAGAGCCAACATATGGAGGCCTGGGAATGGTTTGGGGTCTTCTACTGTCTGATGATCTCCCCAGCCTTCCCACACAATAAGCCCACTCCTTCCTCTCAGGTCAGAACAATGGGGAGAGAAATACCTGCCCTCACCCCAGACTGAGAACTGACAGGTTCACTAAGCCACTTCTCACCATAGAACCCTCCTGCTGGGGTGATGCTGACACCTTGCTGCTGGAAAGTTGTCACCCTAGGGTGTCCCCACAGGTCCCAGGTCCTTACAGGTCACTGGTCTAATTGCTTCCCCATTTTATTTATTTATTTATATTTAATTTAAATTTTTTGGTACCAGGGATCAACCTTGGGTCCTTCCGCTTGCAAGGCAGGAGGCAGAACCACTGAGCTACAACCCCGGCCTCTCCCCAGCCCAATTTTTTTTTTTTTTTTGGTACCAGGGATCAAACTTGGGTCCTCATGCTTGTGAAGCGGGCAATGGAACCACTGAGCTAAATCCCTGGCCCTTTATTGGCATTTTTAATCTCTAGTTTTCATGGCTGATTATCTTCCAGCTAGGTCTTACTTTCAGGGAAACAGTATTTAGTCCAAGCTGACCTCAAACGTGCAACCGTCCTGCCTCAGCCTCTCAGACTGCTGGTTCTACAGGCATGTGCCACCATGCCCAGCTCCTGTTCTCAGGAATTTTAACTAGCTTTTCTAGGTATTTTCTTTTTATAATCTGCTGTGCAAAGATATCCTTTTCATAAAATTTATGTCTAGTTTGTATGTGGGTAAATTATTTTATACTTTAGTATTAAATGTACTTAACAGTTTATGAGCTATAGTGTGTTGTTTGTTGTTACATTTTTTTGTTGTTGTTACTAGGGATCAAATTCGGGTCCTTGTGCTTGCAAGGCAGGCAGTGGAACCACTGAGCTAAATCCCTAGCCCTTGTTTTGTTTTTTGAGACAGTTTCACTATGTATTTCAGGCTGGCCTTGAACTCACTATGTAGCCTAAGCTGGCCTCAAATTCATGGTGCTCTTTCTGCTTCAGCCTCCTGAGTCCTGGGATCACAGGCATGCACCACCACACTCAGCTTTAGCTGTCTTTTAGATATCCATACAGCCAGGTGTGGTGGTACACTCAGGAGGCTGAGGCAGGAGAATCACTGTGAGTTCAAGGCCAACTCATAGCAAGATCCTGTCTTAAAAAAACAAAAATAAATACTCATCGAGCAATTCCAAATGTAATAACATGAGTTATGAGAGAGAAGGATGTTAAAGTTAAATCTGTTAACTTCCCAGCATTCCACAGCAATGTTTCCATTTTTGTGCATAATGTGTTGCTGTAGACCTGCATCATGTAGCTGCCAAAATTAAGACCTAAAGCCCTGAACTGCCTTGACAACTGCTCCCTTCCTCTCTGTCCTGGGTGCTGGGCACAGTGCCTCCCCTTTGGCTCCGCCAGCCTAGCCTTGGCAGATCCTGGAATCTGGTGCTTTTTCCCAGACCACAACTACTGGTACTATCTTCTCTTACTGGACCTCAGGATCAATCCCACTTCATAATGAAAGATTCTTCCAACCAGGGCTCCCACCAAATAGCCTTCAAAGGAGAAAATCTAGCAAGGTGAATGGGGAAAAAGATATATTATGTACAGTACAGGTACAAATTCCCTATGATGAATGTGAGCACTATGTGTAAAAAGTATGTACTAATAAAAAAATGTTTTTTAAAAAATCTACCAGAGCCCCTTACGGCCCTGTATTCTGAAATAACTGAGCACAGCAGCATCTGGCTTCAACTATTCTTTTCCCACTCCCTTGACCTTGGCTTAAGTGCTTATTCTCAGTTGTCTAAGCTGTGGTATCTCCTCCCCTCCCTTCCCCCCATCCCTGATAACTCCCAAGGGCCTTGGACCGTGGAGCCAGATCTGCTCAGATGGCCATTGTAAAAGGTGCTAGGGAGCTGCTCCATCAGGGCGCGTCCCGGAGTCTGTCCAGGCAAGAAGGTGGCAGCCCAGAAGACTGCCATGCCTACAGTGGCCAGTCCCCTACTTCCCAAAGTGATACTATATATGGAAACCGTGCCTGTGTATCTGTGGGGCGTGTTCTCGCCTTGGAGAAGGTGCCTTCACAGTGAGCTCCACACAGCTCCTTTCACATTTAGAAGCCAGAATTCCCAGTGATGTGCAAATGATGCTGGTTAATGCTTTAATCCTACACCAACTCTCCAGTTCTAGGCTTGAGAAAAACTAAAACCAATCTACTTGTAATCAAGGAAAGTGGACCAAGAGAGCCTAGTCTGAGCTGTTGCCATGGAATGACTGTGACCTGACAGGAATGTCACCTGAGACACAAGCTCACATACATATGTGCAGCAGCAGTGCAGCCAACTCCTGAACATTACACCCAGCCGGTTCTTGTTAAATCTGGGAGAGGGAAGGTTTTTACCAATGAAGTTGAACACAATCAACCTAGTTTAAACCCAGTTGCGGCTACTGGGTCAGGAAATGAACTTAGTGGTTTGTAACCAGAATTTCTTTTTAATTGGAAGAAGATACAGAATAGAGTGTATCATATATAATAGAGTTAGGTTGTGTGTGAAGTGTTATATGCATCTATGCAGGTATTGGCAATGTAAAATACATTTGTTACTGTGGGTGCCTGTCAGAAACTTGAAAAACATGAGCTTAATTTGTGGTAAATATTTGTTTATTGTAACTAGGAAAGTAAAAAGTACATTTCTTTTTTTATTAGTCCATGTTTTCAGTACATAATGTTTGCATTCCTTGTGTGGGGTTGGTGTACGTACAGAACACATTCTTAGTTTTCTTTTCATTCCCTGTCCCTCCCCTGCCTACCCTCCCCACCAATCTCTCTCTCTTTTTTTTTTTTTTTGGTACCAGGGATTGAACTCGGGTCCTTGAGCTTGTGGGGCAGGCAGCGGAACCACAGCTAAATTCCTA